TCACAATGTTTAGATTATCTCCTTGTTAACTCAAAGCACTGAATATCAACATTACATCACCCAGGAGCTTGTAAGAAATACAGAATCTTGGGCATTATCCCAAACCTACAGAATCATAATCTGCATTTTAACAAGATCCCCAGTGATTCATTTGCAAATATGACACTTGAGGGGCACTGATCTAATGGAAGAAAGATAATCAGAAAGGGGTCACTACACTTTGTTCAGTGCAGTGCTGCTTACAACGGGGCAAGGTTTTAAGCAAATGGATAATGATTAAAGGAATTATGGCACAGCCACAGGATGGAATATTAAGCAGCCTTTAAAAAATCATGTTCCAAAATGTTTAAATGACGAAGATAAATGCTAATGGTATCTCATTAAATTTATAAAGCAGCTGTGTGTGTGTGTGTTAGTGGCTTAGTCGTGTCCAACTCCCCAGGGACTGTAGCCTGCCAGGCTCCTCTGTCCATGGGATTCTCCAGGCAAGAAAAGTGGAGTGGGTTGCCATTTCCTTCTCTAGGGGATCTTCCAGACCCAGGGATCAAACCCAGGTCTCCTGTATGGCAGGCAGATTCTTTACCCTCTGAGCTATAGGGAAGTCCAAGCTGTACTATATCACATAGCTCTAACGATGTGATATCAATCACATGCAGGTATGTTTATGTACACATAAGTAAAAGCCTCAAAGAAAATACAGTATCGTGAATAGTACAGAGAGCATTTCTGTATGAGAGAACTAAGGGGGACTTGTGTTCTTTATGTTTGTATGTCCCAAATGTCCTGATAAGCAAGTATAATTTTGACAGAGTAATGTTCACATTAATTCCTCAAAAAAGTAACTAGTAAGAATGAGGAAGAAGGGAAGATGGAAAGAATCTGAAAACACTACTCTCTGGACTCCTATTCAAATGAAGCAGAACAGATAAGCTGAGAGAACTACAAGAGGATTATTACCTCTATTTCCACCCACTTAACCAATGCAAAGCACAAAGTCTCCTCTGAGATACTGAATTTAAAGTCAAACACTTAATAACAAAACCTTGTTTTTCTTTGGCCTTAAGCCCATTATTTAATTCCTTTGTGGCTCAGCTGGTAAAGAATCTGCCTGCAATGTGGGAGACCTAGGTTCAATCCCTGGGTTGGAAAGATTCCCTGGAGAAGGGGAAAGGCGACCCACTCCAATACTCTGGTCTGGAGAATTCCATGGACTATATATAGCCCATGGGGTCGCAAACAGTCAGACACAATTGAGCGACTTTCACTTTCACTAAGCCCACTACTAGTGATGGAGAACAATGTCAACAACACAAGGTTAAGGGAGCCCTTACCATTAGTACTTGAAAGATCTTCTTCATGGGGATGGAAACTGTTCAGAAGAGAAATTAGCCACGGCCAAATGCTGTAAATTAAACAGATAGTTCAGACTTTATTTTTGCATGAGAAACCAGAATGCTAATAAGCCACAAAAATGTTACCAATAGGACCTAGACAATGTATTTTTCTCTTGGTTTGGCATTTTAAATGCTGTATGATTTCCTAAAATGTAATCCCTAATGTGTCTAGATAAGATACACCAGAAGGGCCAAACTTCCGTAACAGAGACCTACTACTGCACATCGGTCCTCAGGTTCCTAATTTAACAACTAACTGTTAAATTGTTAAAACTGATTTGCCAGTTTTATTCATTGAAAATGGATATTTACTGAGAAACCTTTGACCAGAGAAACAGCGCATTATGTTTTTATAGTTTTCACATACATTATCAGTTATGGAACCCATTACTAGTTCTTAATCTGTGACAGGGGATGTGGTTACATCACAGTCAAATCACATTCAAAGTGATGAATATGCCTTTTTCTTTATGGTATAAAAAAGTTCACACATTGTTATAATGTCCTTACCTCTGTTTCGTAACACCAAACCTTTGCCAAAGTTTGCAAAATATTAAAAAATATTCTTAATAGGTAAAATATTAAAAATAATTACAATCTACTTAAGATAATATTAAGATTTTCTAGAAATATGTAACCACCAATGTTGGTAAAAAAGTGTGGCTTTAAAAAAATAATAAAAGCCCAGGGTGAGTTGCCCAGGATAGAGAGATTGGATGCGCATCACCACATCAGAGAAAAAACCTTGAAGCTGACAGCTGTACACTTTAAAATATGGGAACATGCTACTTTATATATAAGTGAATAATACAGAAAAAATATACAAGGAAACAATGAAGTATAAATGTCTGCTACAAGCCTCTGGGTATGTAACAAATTAAGAGACAGCTGAAAAGGAAGGTTAATAACCTAAAAAGGAATGCTAGACCAGAACAAAAATGTCTCTATGCAACAAATATGAGATCTCAAAAGAAAGACAAAAAAGAGAATAAAAAATGACCTAATTATATACTGCTTTCCCCCACTGTGGGCTACTTAAGTCTAACTCTGCTTTCTACTAAGGGAAAAAAAAAAAAACACTCTTTCATGCACTTATCAGTTTAAGAGAACATGTTCTCAAAAAAGTATAGAAGAAAACAAGTTCTAGAAATGATAATGGTCAAAAGCAAGAAACTGAAGGTTACCTTAAGTTCAGAAAATTGTTTTTTCCCTCATTTAAAAGATATGAGGATTATTACACCTTGATGTATCAGACCCATAAGGAAAATCTTCAGTTTTAGAGAAATACCCCAAACTAGCTGAAAATCAGTAATAACATAATTTAAGATAAAATACCTAATACCTGCAAGGACATAATTTTAAAGATCCCAATAAATCTGAGAGAAGGGAGGGAGAAGAGTAAAGGATATGGAAGAAAGAGGAAAAAAGTTTGAAAATAAAGCTATTTCTCCGGGTTGAACAGCCTCTGCAATGGTAAGAATGCACAAGGAGCCCCTGGCAGCCTAGTGGTTAGGACTTGGGGCTCTTGCTGCTGTGACCCAGCTTCAATACTGGTGGGGGAACTAAGATCCTGCAACTTATGTGGCACAGCGAAAATAAAACTAGAAAAGAAAAGAAGTGGGAACGCACAGAATGGGCCTAAAAGCTCACTCACTGTACAGGAACAAAATAAACAAAATAAAAATACCAATGCCTTTTCCATAACATTACTAATACAACATACTGAACCAAACACAAGTTCTGAAGTACACATGAGAAGGAAAAAGGTATAGCTTCTGGTTAAGAAAAGAAACTGTGCAAGAAAACACTACCTAAAATGTAACTTACTAAGAGCTATGTTGGCATGAAAAAGAGAAGTGGAGTATGCTGTGCTTATGTGGTTAAACTCCGTTCAAGACAATACCAAAAATGAAGGCGCTTAAAGTGAGATTTGAGAGGAGGAGAGGTAAGACAAGCACAAGGTAAGAGGGATCATGGGGTCCTGAATGTGGCTAGCACATTTTTCAGGTTGTGACCTTGGTCAATATGTAGATGCTGAGCCACGAAGTAGAAATTTCAGAGACTCTCCCAATATCCATCATCAAAATATCCAGGCGAGAAGCTTCCCACTCACTGCAAAGCCTTACTGGAAGTATTTATTCTATTGTTGTTTAGGGGCTAAGTCATGTCTGACTCTTTAGTGAACCCATGGACTGTAACCTGCCAGGCTCCTTTGACAATGGGATTTTCCAGGCAAGAATACTGGAGTGGGTTGCCATTTCCTTCTCTAGGGGATCTTTCTGACCAGGAATTGAAACTGTGGCTCCTGCATTGGCAGATGAATTCTTTACCGAGCCACCAGGGAAGCCCATTTATTCCTATGGCCAAAGGTAAATTGAAAGCTTTCATTTGTCACTGTATAATGAATAATTCCTAAGAATTGTCAGGAATATTCTGAGTAGAGATTACATGGAAAATCACGAGAGCCAAAATAACATCCAATCCTCTATGCTTAAAACAAATATAACTCAAATTGGGTGTTACTAAAAGTCAACATTAAACAGCTTAGTTAAAAAAAAGAATGGAAGAAGTAAAAAAATCTCTTCCCTTCAATTCCTAAACAGAAAACTGGGGCGTATTGTAATGAATAAGAAATAAACTATTTCATTTTGCAATGTGAAAAATGCCTTTTCCCCAGGATGGCAACCAGGAATGCGGGAGCACACAGCGAGTCAGAAATCCTTAAGATTGTGCCTCCCATGGAGAATTCAAACAAGTAAGTGAAAAGCACACAAAGACGTCTTCAGTTCAATTTCTAGAGAGTAGGTGGAAAACACAAGTCCTCCACTGTTCCAATATTGTGTTAGAAGGCAGTTTCTACATACCTATGGATATCAAACAAACAAAGCACACAGCTAGTGTGAAATTCCATGATACTTACTACTGTCTTTCATCCACCACTGCCTCCTGAAACACCCTGGGTCTGAGTCTCAGCCAGTCCATGGACACCTTGACAGCAGGGAGGGGATAGGCATTGTAGGATTCCTCCTGAGACTTGTTTTGGAGAGGACACTTGCACAGGATGCCAAGAAAAGACACTTAAAAGAAAAAATGTGTGCACAAAGAATAAGATATTTGAAATTGTGTACCAGTCCAAATTAAAATATTATTACGAGACTGGGGCTGTATGCTACTTAACACTTAAATACCTTACGGCTTCTTTCTAAAAAGACATTTTCTTTTCCACACTGGAAATATCACAAATACAGTTGATGAGGGGGATGTCAGCAGATGAAAGGAGAGAACTTAAGGGTTTAGGCCTCCTGATTCAGTATTACGAAATAAACCACACTTTTCCATGTTACTAATGGTTTGTTGCAATGACGAAAACGTCAAAGTTCATGCTTCCCAAAAAAGATGGCACAGGAAGTCAAATGATTTAATACTCACTAAAGAGGGCCAGCAACTGTGTCCAACACAGCTGCTCATCTTGGCTGTAACTATGCTGCTCTGTTTCGTTGCTAAAGTCACGAAGGTGATGAAGCTGGAACAGGTTAATGACAGTGACGTGAACTAACTGCTGAGAGTTGAAAGCTTTCTGGAATAGCAGCCTCTGAAAAAGAAGCCAGGAATACTGAATATATTATCAGGAACTGAAGCCGTCTTCACCACAAGAATTAAATTGGCAGTCTGCATTTAAACCACAAGGGTAACATTTATAGATGAGTATTTTATTTTATTTATTTATTTTTCATTTATTTTTATTAGTTGGAGGCTAATTACTTTACAATATTGTAGTGGTTTTTGTCATACACTGACATGAATTAGCCATGGATTTACATGTGTTCCCCATCCCAATCCCCCCTCCCACCTCCCTCTTGACCCGACCCCTCTGGGTCTTCCCAGTGCACCAGGTCCGAGCATTTGTCTCATGCATCCAACCTGGGCTGGTGATCTGTTTCACCCTAGATAATATACATGTTTTGATGCTGTTCTCTTGAAACATCCCACCCTCGCCTTCTCCCACAGAGTCCAAAAGTCTGTTCTATACATCTGTGTCTCTTTTTCTGTTTTGCATATAGGGTTATCGTTACCATCTTTCTAAATTCCATATATATGTGTTAGTATACTGTAATGGTCTTTATCTTTCTGGCTTACTTCACTCTGTATAATGGGCTCCAGTTTCATCCATCTCATTAGAACTGATTCAAATGAATTCTTTTTAATGGCTGAGTAATATTCCATGGTGTATATGTACCACAGCTTCCTCATCCGTTCCTCTGCTGATGGGCATCTAGGTTGCTTCCATGTCCTGGCTATTATAAACAGTGCTGCGATGAACATTGGGGTGCACGTGTCTCTTTCAGATCTGGTTTCTTCAGTGTGTATGCCCAGAAGTGGGATTGCTGGGTCATATGGCAGTTCTATTTCCAGTTTTTTAAGAAATCTCCACACTGTTTTCCATAGCGGCTGTACTATTTTGCATTCCCACCAACAGTGTAAGAGGGTTCCCTTTTCTCCACACCCTCTCCAGCATTTATTGCTTGTAGACTTTTGGATAGCAGCCATCCTGACTGGCGTGTAATGGTACCTCATTGTGGTTTTGATTTGCATTTCTCTAATAATGAGTGATGTTGAGCATCTTTTCATGTGTTTTTTAGCCATCTGTATGTCTTCCTTGGAGAAATGTCTGTTTAGTTCTTTGGCCCATTTTTCGATTGGGTCATTTATTTTTCTGGAGTTGAGCTGGAGGAGTTGCTTGTATATTTTTGAGATTAGTCCTTTATCTGTTGCTTCATTTGCTATTATTTTCTCCCAATCTGAGGGCTGTCTTTTCACCTTGCTTATAGTTTCCTTTGTTGTGCAAAAGCTTTTAAGTTTCATTAGGTCCCATTTGTTTATTTTTGCTTTTGTTTCTAATATTCTGAGATGTGGGTCATAGAGGATCCTGCTGTGATTTATGTCAGAGAGTGTTTTGCCTATGTTCTCCTCTAGGAGTTAGATGAGTATTTTAATTGAATATGATGTGGTCTGATGTTTCTCATGTTGACTTTCTGCCTTGAAAAGATTTAACCCAGTCACCACAGAGCTGTTTTTTTTTTTAACAATACTTTTTCCCACAAGAAACTATGTATTTTTTAATATGATCTGGGAAAAACTTTTTAGAGGACTATTAATAAATTTATACATTTTAATTCATTAGAAGCTGTTTTATAAGAGATGCAAACATACTAAAATATGAAACCAGGACCACTGACGACAAAATAGGCGCACATAGTGAAAATCAAAATTTCAAGTAAAGAGGCAAAATACATGTTTTTGAACTCCTGGCACATAATAAATGACTTCCAAACTTGGTCATAAAGTTTACTCTTTCAAAGGCTTGACACATTTAAAGAAATTTATTTATAAATGAGATATATAGCAAAAACATATCTGAAACACAGTGTAAATGATAAACCAAAGCAGTCATTAACAAGTATAGGCCACCTGATGTGAAGAGCTGACTCATTTGAAAAGACCCTCATGCCAGGGCAGGAGGAGAAGGGGGCGACAGAGGATGAGATGGCTGGATGGCATCACCAACTTAATGGACATGAACCTGGGTAAACTCTAGGAGTTGGTGATGGACAGGGAGAACTGGCGTGCTACAGTTCACGGGGTCACAAAGAGTTTGACGCGACTGAGCGACTGAACTGAACTGAATATGCACCTGTACAAATTATTATACTGACACGTTCCTCTATCAGAAAAGCAACAGTCTTCACTACCAAATTTCTTTTACTTAAGAACTGTGGGTTCACAGTGACCTGCTAAACATCACTGTAAGGAAAAATTCACCTACATGCTCTCAGCTGCCTTAACTTCATTACCCTTCTACCTTAATATCTGCAGTAGTTTAGATTACTCCCATATAAAATAGTTTTCCAACACAAGTTCCTAACAAACTTGATAGCTATTAGAGATGACATCCTGGTTTCATCTTACACTTCAGCGATGGCCAAATACCCTCCCTCCCCAGGCAAAACTTTTGGAGAAAGTGGAGTTCACTGTCACTAGCCTTATGATGGGAAATGGATTATGTCACTTACACTTCTACCAGCAGTGACAAGAGATCCTACCATCTCAGAAATTTATAGCTGCTTGTGTCCAGCCTATTCTGAGATTTTTTTTTTTTACATAAAGAATATGAAACATCCAGACTAAGTTTCATAATTCTACTCACAAGCCCTTTCACATTATCTTTGGAAACACACAGTTCTCGTTCTCTGTAACTCTATTCTCCCATCATCTTGCCCTCTGTCTTCCCAGGACATACGTCAAGAATGCTGACTCCTTCTCTAATGGCACTGACCATTTGTCTTGCCTTTACTCTGAATGTCCTGAAACGCTATTTCTTTTCCAGAGTGCTACCATAAAACTCTTCTCTCATTCTCTACATCCAACTTTACAGATCAGCTGACAATTTACACAAATACATAAGATTGGCATGAGAATATTTTTTCAAGAAGTGTGCTTTTCTATGAGTATAATTTATAGTAATGTATCCCTTGTATCTATAAATCCAGTGGCATTTATTTTAGAAACCAATGTTCTACTGAACGAAATTAAAAAACTTGAAACATAGGATACGAGAGCAGCCTAGTACTAGCAAATGATAATGAAAGTTCATGAAGGTACAGACTGCATCTTGTTCTCCCCTATATCTCCAAGAGCTTAGAGAAGTGAGAGAAGTGCAGAGTATACAACAGGTACTCAAACACTTAGTGAAGGAATAACCCATACTTTTAGAAATATATAACTATTAAGTTATAATTTCATAACATTTGGATTGCATTTTAGTAACAGATTAAACCGGGACTGACTTTTTGTTACTCAAAGACACTTTCAACAGCAGTTAAGGATTATATTGAACTAAATACTGTTAAGAAACAGCACACATTTAACAGATATAAAAAAGTCTTCTATCTCAATTCCTAAACTGAGATCTTAAGTCCTCCAATGGACCTCAAGTTGGTACATGTTTCTGCTTAGTACATAAAGACTTGCTGGTAAGACAGATACACTGAGGTTTACACGTGGATAATACTAATGATCTGTAAAGGCTTTAGAAATACTCAACTATGCTAAAATTTCACTCCAACAATGTTCTTCTGACATTTCAATACTGGCTAAGGTTTAAAATAGATCTGCCTCATACTATGTTTAACTTCAGAGTGTTGGAATGATACTTTAAAGTGTTATTTTAGCAATTGCCTACATACACCCACCAAAACTTCACACTCAGAAATATATATCTGAAGACAATATTAGTGTTTGAGGTTGAACCAAATACAAAACTGACTAGATTCTATACGAGAATGACTTAGAGAAGATCTCATGAAGGTAGGTCCCTCCTCCCTCCCAATTTAGGGAGTATATCTTGAATAGAACAGAGCTGGAAGCAATTTCAAAGGATCATTTGGTCCAACTCCCTGCTAGTCAATGAGACTGCAACTAAACCATTCAAGAAACATGGCTGTCAATCTGACTTTTAAGCTCTCAAAAGAGAGACCTTTTAGTAACCCCCTACAGGTCTCTACTTAAATTTTAAGATTTTATTTCTGACCTCAGGAAGACAAAAATGTGCTCTTTTAAAATAATCCTTCATATATCTGAAAACTTACAATGAATAATATAATAGACTTCTTTTTCTAGGCTGAACAGCCTAGGGCTTTAAAAAGTTGGTTGTTTCTTTCATGTACCCAACCCCATAAATCATGGGCTAAGTTTAAATAGGTCACTAACAGAATCATAGAACAGCGGGGACTCTAGAAACTTATTTTAAAAACAAACTATTTCTATTATAGTTACTTGGTATAATCTCTTACACATAAAAAGTAATCAACTAAAAAATGATCATCTGTAAAAACTATTTCACACTGACTGTATCTGGCTAATTGACTGTCTCTTAACTAAGTTCTACAATCTCTGGAATGTGAAACCTGTATAATACTTGATAGACAATTTCCCAGTTACAGACAATTCCTCAGTTACAAACAATTCCCCAAGTGTATAGACACTCAAAAGTAACCTAAAAATATGTTCTTTGAGACCGTCTTGTTCACTGTTGATTTCAGTGACTACAACAATGATTGATACATACTAGTCAAATATTTTTTGAATAAATGAACTAAAAATACAAGTTAATTTTGACTCCTCCAATATTATATATATATTTTACTACATCATTTAAACTAAGTTAATATACTAATAAAAATTATATTCATACATATAACTAGAAAAAAGGTTCCTTAACTTTATCTCCTTGTACAAATTAGTGAAATATATGCCTGCTGAATGAAATTCTCATTACTTCCCTTCAGTCAATCACAAGTCCTGGGATCAAAGCACAGTGAGACCCATGAGCTCAGTTTGCAGAATGGAATTACTATCAATAAAGCAGGCAACCAAATCACATCTAAACATAGAAAACATCAGATGCAGGACTTCCAAAACTGAGAAAAGAAAGGTGCTCAGTCTGAGAGGGAAGGAGGAAAATTTCTTTTCCCACTATGATATTTTCTGCCAAATGGCAGCTACTTAGTGAAAACATGTCTGCTATATTTCTTTACATAGACAGCACCTCAGTTTAAACTGAAGGAATGAGGTTTGCCAGAATTTCACATGCCTTAAATTTCTGTTTTATCAACATTTCATAATTCAGTAATGACATAAAACTGGGAGTGAGTCTCCTCCAAATCGTATGCTTCCTCATTTAGACAAGAAAAAATTGTTTAAAAAAATCTAACCTTAAACTGTTCTTCCAACTTCTCTCGAAGAGGGCTCAACTTTTCCAAGCTCTTACTCAGGTACACATGACCGTGGAATTTAATAAAGGCCTTGATGAAGTCAGAAACACCCCATTTGGTTTTCACCTCATCCCGGCTGAAATGAAAGAAAAACTTCCATGAATCTTAAGCAGCAAAACGCCTAAAACCTCTTACAGGAGACTCTGATGTGCAGAAACGCATCATCTGAGCACCTGTGACTCAGGCAGCGGACTGCTCTCGATGACTTCTGACTGTAACACTCAGACGAATCAGTGCTCAGCAGCCTGTGCTACTCCACTGGGAACAACTCAGAGACCAACTGGTTGAAATTCAGTGGTGACTACATGCAAAACTGTTGTAATACATATGTTAGATTTTAGGCAAATAGGAGAGACAGGAAGCATGAGCAGCCGGCCGTTATTTCTTGTATGCCCAAATTTGAGTCCACTTGGAAAAGTCGACCCTACCTTTCCAGTGCTTTAGAAAGTGCTTTTTGTAGATTAGTAGAGGCAGCTGGGAAAGGGAACTTCACAGCAATGCTTCTGCAGTAGTAGAAAATTGTGGTCAGATGGTCTCCTTTGGAAGAAGCTAAGATAGCCAACTGATTGTAAGGCTGACCTAGAGGAGAAAGGTAAGATTCTAAAGTAATCCAAGATGCATGAAGTCTTGCTATCACAGAATGCAGAAGGGCAGTTTTTAAATCGCTGTATTAAAAATGGGGAGCATTTTATAAAGTAAATCTCATGACTAGTTCATTAAAAATAGCCTAGCAGCACACTTTAGTGATGGCACATATGTTAAAAAGTCATATGATTAGGGTGGAGGGCACTCTAAGTTCAAATAAGACTTTGGAAAGGGCTAAACAGTAAGTATTTTTTGCTTTGTGGGCCGAAGTCTCTATCACAACTACTCAACTCTGCCACTGCAGTGGGAAAATAGCCACAGACAACATGAAACAGTATGTCCAAATGCCATCCCTAATTTCAAGTGACTCCTTTAGAATCTAAAGGACTTTCAACGTAGCTTAACAAGAATGCATATCACCAAACACCTACAGTGATTTAATTCAAGAATCACTCCTAACGCCCATTTAGGGAGCCATCAAAAGACAAAAGCATTATCTTTTTGTAATAAGAGAGAATTTTTCTAGGAGGGGAATCATTGTATTTATTAAAAAGAAAATTATTATTAGGGAAGCCAGAGTTGTTGAAGCAATTTTAGATCACATTAGAGGATCTTTTATTCATATTGCTTTACTGACAACAGTAATAATATTTTAAAAACTTTATTTCCAATTACACAGAATGTACAGTTAAAAGGAAAAATACAATAATCAATAGCAAAACTCAAAATATCTTTGGACTTCTTACCACTTAAAAGAGGAGCCCTGAACTATTTTCCATTTTTCTACTGAGAGTAAAGTGTCATACATAACCAACTCACCATTAGAGGGGACAAGCTGAGCTGCATGCCTATAGTAGGACTCTGCCTGGCTGGTCTGGTTTCTGTATCGAGCTAAGAGGAGGGGAAAAAAAAGCTCAATTTAAAAACACACAGATAAAAACAACCATTAGGGTAATTCCAAAACAGCTATAGTTTGAACATTTAAAGTTAATAAATACACTAAAATTAAATTAAGATGATTAAGACAAAATGTTTTAAAACAAATTAACTATAGGATTACGTGTGAAGTGTCCATCCGGCCTTCCCTATCTGGGACACTCAGCATGTAACCAACTTTAAAGCTTACCTAGCCCCATTTCCAGGTCCTCCAAGTGTCATGCCATCACCAGCTCCCACTACGGACTATGCTGGTGACCTGGGGCCGGCCCACAAGAAGGGGTGAGTTATATGGCACTTAAAAACAAAACAAAACAAAAAACACTATACAATATGATCTGAAATTTATGTATTTCTTTAATATCTTTATAAAGTGATTTTGAAAAATGCCTCATACCTATTGAAATATCATTTGTGTGTGTGCAAAGAATACACTTTTGAAAGCAAAAGCAATCTAGATATACTACTACTCGCTGAATCTCCCTGTAGAAATTGGCGCTTACTTTGATGTGACCTCTAATCCACTTGTTATTTGAGGACAGTCAAAACATAATCCTATAGTTAATTTGTTTCACAACCCTTTTAAGGTCACCTTAAAGGAATGAACAAGAATATATATATTACATAACATTCCCAGATAAAATATATAAAATGGAAACACAAATTGAACTGTAAAAAGGAAACAATTAAAAATGAACTTTTAATGCACTGGTAGGAAGAAAAAGGCAACCCAGCTTCAGAAGGAGTAATTTTTATAAACTCCACAATTTCAAAGGAGTACAGTCTTTCAAAAATATTATGGCATCACTTTGAAAAAATTAAGCTTTGATTACATTTGTGCTGGTTTATTATTTGCCTACATCTGCATAAAGTCTGAATAAAATTTAAATCTGAATATGAAAGTTACTTCCCTCAAGATCCTTTGCCAATCCCAAAGGATTCAGAAAAATCAAAGTTTCTTAAAATACATTTTATAGTTTTCTCTTATGACAATCTAAGTTCTATGTGTAGGCTTGTTTAAAAGAAAATAATCTTTCTATGACTACTCCAAAGAAAAGCATGAATGTATTATCAATTCCTTCACACCAAGGGCTCACCAATGTCTCCAAGGTGAACGAGGCAGTGCTGGCAGATATAGGAACAGGAGCTAGACTGTGGCTTCACTATGGCGCTGGTATGCGTCTGTTTATTGCTGATAATTCCCAACTGGGAAGACTTCACACGGCATGGTAAATCTACATTAAACACTGTACACAGTTCTTGTAATAACTGAAAGGAAAACACGAGCAAGTGTTAGTATTAAGTCAGAAGTGCTCTAACAGTAAAGTTGGTATACTTTAACATGTGTAACTAATATTACATACTGCTGAGACCTAAGATAGGACAACCTTTCAAAGGATAACTAGTAACATTCATTACAAATCATATCATTTGACTTGCCAAGTATTAGAGCAATCCAAGATGTACATCTAAAAGGAATAGCAGCAATTTAGGGAAAAAAGAAAGATTGTACCTGAGTAGGCTATTCAGATTCATTCAGCAAGCAACTCCATGAAATTACCTATCTCTCTTTCTATTTTCTTTTCCTCTTAGAAACAGATAAAACTCATTAAAGACTAGTTGGTTACAAATTTGACTTAAATATAAACCAACATATTTGGCAGACTTCAGGAGTTTCTTGAGATTTATTTTCTTAAGCCTGAGGTCAAACTTGGGTCTCTGCACACAGATCTATACATCCGTAGAGATCTGGAAGGAACTTTTGACATTATGTAGACATTCACTCTTTCTTCCTTTCTTCTCTAGTTTTATGGTATGAGAGGGTTCCTTCTCCCACTGAGAAATAACTTCTCTGTCTGGGAATGCTGTTTCATTCTTTTCTGCCTCCTGCCTGTCATCCCCTCATTTTTATTTTTCATCCCCTCATTTTTAAAATCTACTTTCAACTTATCAAACTTCGTTGCTATGGCCTATGAAATGTTGCCCACAAAAAATAAACAATAATTATTACTATAAAACAAAACACACAGAACTGAAGCACTTTCCCTTGATTCTAGATTTCTCCTTTAGCAAGCTTCTAATGTCTCTTCTTCTTCTCAACAGAATTCCTTCGAAGGAGTCCACAAGTATCATATCTGCTTTCTCAATTCCTAGTTGCTCCTTAGTCCATTATGATCTGACTTTCACACAACCTCTCCTCTCCCCATCCCACCATCCACAACCACTCTACTGAAACTGCTGTCAAAGACAACTGGTTATAAATAAGCAAATACAATGGATGTTTCCTAGTCATCATCCTATTGGATCTCTCTGCCACATTGAAAACAGCTGATTTTATGACTGATCACTAAGCTTTTCTAGTTCTTTTCTTCTTGCCAATCATTTCTTCTCAGCACCCTTCATTAACGTCTCCCCCCACCCCCCCACGCTGACAGCCTCAAGCACTTACTCCCGGCACTCCACAGTTCTTCACAGTCTACTCCCAGTCACTCAGACACTTACTTACAAGTGTGATCATTCAAATACCTGGTCATTTTATCACATGCCCATGGAAAACAACAGGGACACAGAGATAGATAAAAAGATCTGTGTGGTTCAGGAGTTCACAGATAAATGAGCAAGACAGGTACATAAAGTAGGGAAGGGAGAGCAGGTGAGACGAGGAAGAGAGGGAGAGATATCCCAAACGATAGCATAACCAATGGAACATTCTACATAATAAGCTTCACTCCCTGGGCTATGTGTTTGTCTCACTTAATCCTTGTGATAAACTAGCAGCAACGCAATATGTTGCTTCAACACAGGTATGAAGCTCCATTTTTTTCAGATGAGGGTATGAAAGCAACAAAAATATTGAGTTATTTGACTAAGATTACAGAATTAGACATATCTTGATTCTAACACCACTCTCTCTAATAAGTACAGATTTCACAAAACAAGACACCTTGGGGGACCCAACTCAGGATATATAATGTCTCACCCTTTTCCTAAGATAAAAAGCACCTCTATAACCAAACATAAAATCCTATATTCCCTTTTCACGAAACACAGGAGTTATCTACAACTGTACTTATACCTGTACATTTGCAATGTGCAAGAAATTTTCTGACATAAAATTGAGCAAACAAAACTAGTGCCCAGAATGAATAGAGTCTGGAAGTAGAAAAAAAGCAAGAAGTACAAAAAAAGTAACAAAAAAATGGGAAAAACCCTAAAACAGATTCTGTGGAGGACAGCAAGAAGAAACAGAACAGAGGATAAACAAACAATTGAGTTCTACAGGTACTGAAAGAACAGACTGGAAAATTAGGCACAGCTGAATATCTATCAAGAAGAAAAAAAGGATGTTTAAGAAAAGTAAATAAAATATGGTTGAAACTTCATGTGGCTGTCTTATAATAAAATTTTTGTCTGAACCCAGGAGTTGTAGGTAGAGATACTGGAAAAATTCCTGCTGGTTCAAAGGATTCCAGGTGAGAAAGCATGAGCTGAGGCAGAAACAAGGTGGGACTAAAGAGAAACAGATGTTTAATAAGCTGAACAAAACTATATTTGGCAATTATTCTGTGAAAACTCTTATTATACTATTCTACTGCTCCTTAGCTCTTCAATCTACCCTAAGAATTTAGAACTAAATATGAATACACAGGGCTTCCCTGATAGCTCAGTTGGTAAAGAAACCGCCTGCAATGCAGGAGACCCTGGTTTGATTCCTGGGTCAGGAAGATCCCCTGGAGAAGGGAAAGGCTACCCACTCCCGTATTCTGGCCTGGAGAATTCCATGGACTATATAGTCATGGGGTCACAAAGAGTCGCACATGACTGAGCGACTTTCACTTTTCCTTTCACTATGAATACACAGAATATCTTTTAATTACTACAGATACTTAACACTTTCTTTTTGTCTCACATTTCTTAAGAGTAAGGACTACTCTATTGTTCTGTTTTTTGATGTTTTAAAAAAACCCACACAGCATAATGTTACATCTTGACTTCATTTGGCAATTTGGTTCTGCCTTCAAGCACCATGCTTTAAATACCAATAGTTAACAAAACGATATCTAAATCAAAAAAATCATCTTCACAGAAAACAGAACTGAGCATATATCTGTCTCTTTTCAATCCATTCCAATCAGATTTCTATCTCGACCACTCAACTGAAGTCACATTTCATCAAATCTAAGATACCATAAATTGTAAGATGAACTATTATTTATGTAACAGAAAAACTGCCAATTAAATGGTGAACTGACCATCTTTTGTAAATGTATCCCTATCTCAAAGGTGTTAAAATATGAAACATGTTTTAGAAATGAGGAAACATGGTATCCATTAATTTCACTAATGACTTCTGTATGTCAAATCCAACTGATCTTTTTTAATCACCTTACTTGATTTCTTTGTAGCACTCACCTGAGTTGGTCACTCCCCTTATTGAAATGCTTTTTTTCTCTTTGTCTTCTAAGATATCACTCTGATTTACTCCTACTGAAATGTGGCTCCTCCTGTGCCAAACCTGTTCTCACCTAGCTCTATCGTTTTAAATGCAAAATCCTAATGTCTAAAGTCAGGGTACTTTATTGTAATCATAAATTTTACTCTGGCTGTGATCTTTTCACTGAGGTCCTAGCTTAGCTTATCGAATCACCTACCTATTTGATCTCTCTACTTCTATGGCAAACAGGCATCTATCTCCCTAGCGTAACATGAATAGAGCTGTCTTTTCCTCAGTGTTCCCTATCTCAGTAAATGGTACAACCAGTCAACTAGCCACTCAATCTGATAACTTAAGTTATCTCTGACTCTTCCCCTATCCTGATTCCACACATCTGATCCAATAGGAAGTCCTGGCCATAGTTTAAAAAATCCATCAATATCTTTCCATTACCACAGCAGCACACTACCTACTTTCCATTCTTGACCCCTGCAAAATCAATCTCCAAGCAACATCCAAAGGAATCTTTTAAAAATACAAATTTTATCATGCTATTATTCCCGTCTACTTCCCAATGACTTGCAACTACATACACTTTAGATTAAAATTCAAAACTCATCTTAGTCTATAAGGCTGTACAATGATTTGGACCTGGTGTACTTCCCCAGTCTGGTAGCTTAATCTGTACCTCATGTCATCAAAAAAGATGTGTAGAACATTATTGTTCACAACATCATTTAACTGTTTCAATTATCAAGATAACCA